TGCCACCATTTTCTGAGAGAGAAGCATGTCTCTCCATGGAATTCCCTAGTAAGAACCACACTGAAGGCATCTCTGTCTCCAAAAGATGGGACATGTCTATTCATCTGTAACTGGAGCCAAAGTGACCCTGCTAAATCCTGTCACTGAATCCATGGACAGGATCCAGTGTGACATTACCACTACTGGAAGTAATGTTATGCTAGTGTAAATGATCTTCAGCATAATGGCAGCAGGGCTTGCTGGCATGCCAGATTTTCTGGGGAAAACTGTTGTGCTAGCAAGCTCTACTGGCAATACACGAGGGAATATTTACACAGGCACATGAACGTTAGCAGTAGTGTCACACCAGATACTGCCCCGTGTTTGTCGCTGCACACTATGATGTGCAGAACATTTTCCTTAAATGGAAAGCTCATCTCGCCTACCAGCAATGACAAGAAAGAATAAAAAGACTTTACTCTGCCTCGCCTGTTTCTGATATGCTTAAACCAACACAGCAACGGTGCAATTTGCTGGATGGGCTAATAGCTTTTAAAGAACATTAGGTGTCTTGTCCCTCTATCACTGAGCCCCCATCATCTTGCTAAATAAACAAAGTCTGGGAAGACCGAAGGTGAAGGCTCTTCCGAACATCCTGCGCACACAGAAGCAGCGCCACAAAGTTTGCTAGATTGTTTCTTATTTTAGGAAATTATTGTTACAGAATGTCACTGCCCTGCATAATCGAGAAAAAAAAAGACCTGGCAATGTATTTGGCCATTCCCTTCAATATTATTCCAAGTGTGGGAGAGAAAGATAGCCCTGCTTTAAACCTACTGTGCAGCCTACAATCTAGCGAAGGCGATGAATTGGAAGACAATTCTATTCCAACAACATTGACAGAAATAAACACTCTTATATTCAGCAACAGCAACTTCACTGAAGTTGCAGTCCCCGAGTCGCTTCCCTGGGAGAAATCCCAATTGAGCTCAGTGGAACGTATGTCCGAGTAGAGAGTGCGGCATAGTGATTAGTGTTGCACTGGGAATGGGAATTCTAGTCCCCACTTGGCCAGGAAGCTCAATGGGTGACTTTGGGCCAGTCACGGCACTTGGATCAGCCTACCTCACAAGACTATTGTGAAACTAAAAAGGAGCCATGCAAGCTTCCCTGGGTTCCTCACAAGCGGAAAAAAAGTAGGATATAAATGTAATGTAATAATAGTATCTATAGGATTGCACTGCCATTAATTTTCCACTTTACTAAAATTATTTCATATTCTGGATTATGGTAGCCTTCCCCAGCTGGGTGCCCTCCAGATGTTTTGGATGACAGCTTGGAAAATTCCTAACCATTAGCCATGCTGGCTGGATTGATAGGAATTGAAGTACAAACATCTGCAGTATACCAGACTGGGGAAAGCTGGAGTAGAGTGTTAAAGCACAAGAGCAGATTTAGGACAAATATGTGATCTATCTTTTTGAAATAGCTAAGTAGAATAAGCATTAACAGTCCAAAGCGATGCATGCTAAAAGGTATGTTCCACTAAATTTAATCCCACTCTAGACCGTCACTGGACAGTTAGTAGGGAATGTCCTACTGACTCAGGGACACTCATTTCCAGAGAAATGCAGTACCAGAGAAATACCTGACACCTTTGCCTATTTACACAGTCTACAAAAGAGTTCAGAACTGGGTGTAACAGCTCACAGGATTGCTGTTATTAATATTAATAAAAGATATATAAGTCTCTTTGCTGGATCTTCCAAGCAGAATATCCTCAGATTATACCACCCAAAATTCCTAACTTTAGTTATGAGTCGATGACAAAACTGTTTTCTAGACTGTCTTGATTTTGAAGCAATAATAGAAACACTGAATTAATGTATGTGCATTTCCATTTACTGTAAAGTGTGGTCAGAAAACACCACACTTTAAGGCTTAGAATATTATAAAACATTTAACATTCTACTGGTTTTAGTGGAAGAATGTTAAACACGTGCTTCACTCCATTGTAATCCACCAGACTCAAGCACTTAACTTTTTCCTAGATAAGGCATGCAATATTTCACAAACAACGTTTCAAAAACACGCACTCTTCCTTTTCTTGGTATTTTCACTTTTTAATAATAAAGCATATATTCAAATGGTATATTCAACACTGAAAGGAGAACCAGCACACCTAAGCCTGTCCAAAAAGGAACACGTATTTTTTCTAAGTTGAAAATAATTTCTCCCAACATGTATTACTTAATTTAATAAAACAGACGAGTCCTCTGCATGATGGTAAAACCGTACCTGACATATATTTCTTAAGATGGTATGTGGAAGCATCCCATGATTCAATGCTTCTTCATATGAAGAAACATCTATCAGTATAAAATAAGGGTTCCAGGAAGAATTGTTCTAGTTTAGCTGTTTTGTGTGTTCTGGGATATTTATCCATTTATTTATTTAGTCACCTGGAGTCTTCCATGGCATAGTCAAGACACAGGTTTACCATCACAGGGAGCACTAAACTTTAAATGTATTAAATATTAATACTGAAAATCCCAATACTAAACTAATATGTAGTCCAGTTGAGATGAAGCACTTGGCTTTAAGACAATACAGGTTACACTCTCCAGACTCTGTGTAATACCTTAATGAAATCAGTTGAATGAATTGAGACCTGCTGATGAAATTACCTCTTGAGCATGTCATACGCTTAAATCAAAGTTATTTTGTTTAGCTAAGTTGTGGAGCAAGGTATTTGTTTAATTATACTTTATCAGTCCTAAAAGGAATCCCATATCCTGAGGTATTTACATACATTATATATGCAAAGCATTTTACTGGTCTATGACCAAAATAAAGCCATTAATATATATGCAAAGTACTACTGTGCATTACTGAGAAGGCACAGAAATTCATTATGCAATATGCATCACAAACTATACTAACTCTCTCCATGCAATATGACTATATACAATGTATATTTCATACACAACATGATAAATTGTGCAGTTACATGTTACAGTAATCCAGTGAACAACACAGCATAATACATGTAATGTGCAGCATAATGATGGTACATTATTTACACATGATGATACATTACTATGTGTAATGCAAATCACCTTCATACACAAAACATGGTCCAAAATGAGCAATATTTGAGTGGACCTATGCAGTGATGCATTACTAGGAAATGTATATCGAGGTTTTTTTTTTTTTATTTTTTAAGCTTACATTTTTGGTCCAACAAGTTGCATAAAACTTGGCAACTTTGGAAAGTTAGAAGGCTCTGTCTCAAATATAAAAGTCCAGAGCCTAAAATAAAGTAAAATTAAATGGAACGAGATGTTTACATACCCGAGTTTTACCAATGGCCTTCTGGATGTCTTCAAGACAACAGTGTGGAGGATAAAGCATTGAATCAAATCATCATCCATCCAGGAAGCTCACTGAGGGACATTCAGCCAGTCACCATCCTTCAGTATAACCTGCCTCACACAGTTGCTTTGAGAATAAAACCATCACACCTATGAAAGTCCAGCTCATGGAAAAATCACACCTCAGTCACAAAACTTGTTGTGCGTTTGAGTGGATCAGTATCTCTCAGCCCAACTGAGCTCACTGGATTGTTGCAATGAGGGAAGCCATGCATGATACCCCAGGCCCCTTGCAGGAAAACAGGGATCAAATTTAAATGCTATTAACATTCTTTGAATGTTGAGCAGGCTTCATTTATGTTTTACTTAAGATGAGCCTCTGCAACCTGGTGTTTTCCAGATGCTTTGGGCCACAACTCCCATCATTCTCAACCACTGCTGGCTGTGACAGATAGAAGTTATAGTCGAATCATTTGGAGGGTTCCAGATTGGGGAAGTTTGATCCAGATGCTCATCACTGAGCCGAGCATGCATTGCTAGAACACATGGCTTTTAAAGGGAGTTGGGTCCCTTTCCAGCTGTTTTGAGTGTTTCATTTATTACCATCAACCTGCAGTTGGTAAACCTACAAATCTGTCTTGAGTTGGCCAGGTGCATCAACACATCTGACATACTAACATTTACAGATTGGAGTATCTGCTGACACAGGGATCTTTCCACAGAAGCCTCCCTGAAAGCTGTACAACATCCATGCAGATTGTCCTATACAGGCATCCATCCAAAGGACTACTAGGACTATCAAAACAAGGCCTGTAGGAAGGAAGGGCTCTTAAAACAAGCATCCTTCTCAGAGCAGTAAGTTTTGGGCTTTGTACAACTTCCATCCCAGAACTTCCTTCTGCATGGAAAGACATCAGCTTTAGCTGAAGAGGCAAACATTTTCCACATGCTGCTTGGCTTCCTTCTCTTCCAACACATCCCTTTCATCCTAGCTGAGACTACGCTTATGACAAATCTGCTACGGGTAGCAAATTTCTCCAAAACCTGTCAATTGCACCTCAGGTTTGCCCCCTGAGGCAGAGCTTTAAACCTGCCTCATGATTTGGCTGCCACTGCAAAACACAGTTCCGTTCTGTCACCTGGAAATTATATAATCTCTTTCAACAATCCTCAGAAAAAGCTATGCCCGATTTTTAAAAGCTCCTTGGGCCAATTCAACCTATTGGGTGTGTGTGTGTGTGTGTGTGTGTGTGTGAGAGAGAGAGAGAGAGAGAGAGAGAGACCAACCAAATGGCAGGACTTGGACCTCCAAGGCAACAGGCCCGATATTTAAGTTGTGGCACATTCTCTGATACCCTTGACAAATGTGCCAGGGATAGGCTGTCCAGCTTGCTTATCCACGAGGAGCTCGGTGCCTCTTGCTCGCAACAACTAAAGGCTCAGAGCAGTCACCTCTATAAGGCAGACAACCCTGATTCACACGACCAGGCTCTTACAACTAAAGAAGCTACCTATGTATGCTAAGAAGCGCTCCAGTCAAGTACTGAACGTGGGCTTCCCTTCCACCTGGCTACAGCAAACGTTCCAACAGGTGCAGACTGTACGTTGGCTTTGGTCACTCTCATCAAGGCACTCCGGTTCCTTCTTTCATAAATATCTTTCGAGTCCGGAGGAGAAATTGGCCTGCCTCATGTAAGAGCTGTTGGCGGGGCCTCCGAACTGTCCCAGGCCGTTGAGTTGCAGCAGCTGCTCGGCGTGGTCGGCGCAGGAAGAGGCGGGCCGCCCGGGCTGCAGGGCCAGCCTGTTGGGGGCGCCGTAGAGCTGCGCGTTGGGCGGGGAATAGGCGCCTTGCGGCACCGCTAAGTGGCCTGGAGGGGAGGCCGAGTACGGGTACGGCATGGCCGGGGGCTGTCGGCCTAGCAAGCCGGAGCCAACCTGCTGCGGCTGGAAACAGGCCTCCGGGCTACCCACGGGGCAACTGCCTAGTTCGCCGGCGCCGTTCAGGCCCAGGGGGTGATGCGCCAGTTCTGCCCCCACCGGGGAGGCCTGCAGGGACGCGGCCTGCTGCTGCTGCTGCTGTTGCTGCTGCTGGGAGCTGATCAGGCTGTCGATGCTGAACATTCGCGGCGGCAGCGCGGGCGCCGTCCCCGGGTACTGGGGCAGGCCGGCCAGCTGCGCGCCGTAAGCCGCGCCGCCGGGGGAATAGACGGGGCCTCCGCTGACCGCGTAGCCGACGCCGCCGGGGCCGTTGCACGGGCCCGGCCGGGCGACTCCCGGGCCGGGGCTGGGGGTGAAGGCGCTGGCGCTGTGCACGTAGCCCGGGTAGGTGGTGAGGTCGGTGCGCTTGAAGCGCTTCCTCCGGCGCAGGAAGCTGCCGTTGTCGAACATGTCCTCGGCGGCCGGGTCCAGCGTCCAGTAGTTGCCCTTGCCCGGGTGGCCCGGCTCGCGGGGGATCTTGACGAAGCAGTCGTTGAGCGTCAGGTTGTGGCGGATGGAGTTCTGCCACTTCTTGGGGTTCTCTCGGTAGAAGGGGAAGCGCTCGGTGATGAACTTGTAGATGCCGCCCAGCGTCAGGCGGCGCTCGGGCGCGTTGGCGATGGCCATGGCGATCAGCGCGATGTACGAATAGGGCGGCTTGCCGCGCTGCACCGGACGCTTCCTCCGACGGCCGCCGCCGCCCCCTGCACCGGGGCAGGGCGGCTGCTCCTCCGCAAGCTGCTCCCCTCCTCTCTCCGGCGGGCTGGCCCTGGGCTCCGCCTTGATCAGCAGCGGCTCCACCTTGCAGCCCGACGGGGAGGCCCTGTGCAAATTGGGGGAGCTTGGATTGGGGAGGGAGTCGGATGTCATGGTGCACATGCCCGAGAAGAAGGAGAAACCGGCCAGATTGGTAGGCGAGGGAAGCCGCGGCTGGAAGGCAAAGGCGATGGCACAGGGGCGCTCCCTCGGGGACAGGTGTGGGTAGGAAACCTGCGTTATATAGACCAGGCCTGGCGCCACCCTGGTACAGCCCCCTGAACGCGCGGCCACCGCCCACCCGCCGACCCGCCGCTCCTTTGCACTCGGGGCAGGCGAAATGTCGAGCGAAAGGCGTTCCGTAGCCTGGCGCTGGCATTTGTCTCCAAAATTGGGGTGGGCGACAGGCGAACGGAGGGGGGACATGCCGGGATTTCCTAGGCAAACTCCGGGCGCAGAACTCCTTGTTCTCTTCGGTGGGGTTTGCGCCAAGTAAGTATTCCTAGGATCGCTGCCTGAGCCCGTAACGGCAAAGAGGACATGTCTTTGCCGTGCCTAAGGTGTGAACTTGTAATTACTTCGGTTGACTCCCAAGTGGTTGTACACCTACAAGCTCCTGTCGAGAATCTAATTTATTAATACCCACACCTGTTTACACTCCTGGCTATCAGTGAAATAATTGATCGTGGGGGAAAGGTGATTTGCGATCCTCTGCCAAACTGATTTAGGATTTGAGAAGGCAGGCAGGCAAACTCCACTGGAAGTTCTCCTGCAACAGTGTGGCATGCACAAGACAGAGTTTGAGCAGGAGAAGTTCCCAATGTGTAACTCGGACTACATGGAGGCAAATAGCGTGAAAATCAGTGAGCAGCTCGCTCCAGAGAGGCTGGCGTCAGTCAGTTTACTTGACATCTATGGGACTGTTGCTTTATCCTAAAGGCTAGAAGAGGCAGCCACCTTGTGAACGGAATCACTTACGCACACACTTTAGAAATAAATTGCAGAAAAGATGGCTTGGACCAGGATAATTCAGTGACTGAATGGAAACATTTCTTTAGCAAAAAGGTCATGTACAGAGCTATGCAACTTACTCCCAAATTGCTAAGTAGGGTTTTGAAGCACAAGAAGATTTAAAACACATCAAAGAATACACAACCCAGAATAAATAAAACATGACAATTTTCTTTTTCCACATTGTATGATACAAATAAATGTCTTATCCTCCTGTCTCTTGTTCACTGAGCTGCCTGCGTAGTCCCTCTGAGACCTTCTGAACAGACACGTGGTAGACACAGCTCTTTCCTTGACTATTTATTTGCACCTGATCAGAGTTCAGACGCAACAGAGTGTCTGGTGGCACCTGGACAATGCAATCCTGCACAAAAGTAACCCCACTGAGTTTAGGTAAATGTGCTCGGGATTGCACTCCCACCAGGCATAAGCCTCGCTGAACATAGGGCGACTTACTTCGGGGTAAGCACGCACAGGGCTGAGCTTTTGTTACAGCATAAGCTGCTGCGGGCTGGGATCCATTTCATTCGCCGTGAGAAGCAATATACGTCGTTGGTAAGCATATGGCTGTACAGCAGCATTCCTAATCCTGGCACCCTTTGGTATGTTGTACTACAATTTCCATATCACCACCAGCCCACAAGCCGGCTTAGGAGTGCTGGAAGTACTGAGCAATCTGGAGAGACCCAGGTAGGGAGAAGTTGCTGTAGAAAGTTCAAGGAATTCAGTTCTCCTTTTCCTTTCAAGTGGAGTGAAAACAGGATAAGGGCTGTAAATACCAGAAAATGTGTGTGTTTCCACACTTGCCAAAACAGCCTGTCATTCCTCCCGATTTCTGTATAATAAGCTGCAGAATTGGAGAGTAAATCATTACCTTGATTTCTTTTCTCTTTTCCCTTATAACATCCTGCCTGGTAAAGAACTCGGAGGCTTGCTCACTGTTCTGAGTGCAATCCAAGGGTCACAGAGAGAAGTCCTACAAGTCCCAGGATTACCCAGCCAGCATGCCCTGGGAAATTGTTGGACTTTTTCTTGTCTACACATACATAGGATTGTGCCCTTAGGAACTGTTCTGTGAATTTGGGATTCCATCTGCAAAAGCCCAGCAGAGTTTGCCTGTCCATCCCACCTTATCTCTTACCGATGCCTTTCCAGATCAAGTCATGGCTCTTAAGTAATCAATGTTTTGCATAAAATCTACCTGTAAGGATAAAGTAATCTTCCTAATGCCACCTAGCTGCCTATCAGAAGTTATTTCTATGTTGTCCTTAAGGGCAGAATCCTCTGAAGTGGCAGAATCCTCTGAAGTACTTCAAATATCTGAAGTAAAGATATTTGGAAGCAATGCATGGTATTTTAATGGGCATGAATGTAATTTGTTTAGGATTGGGTTGCTCTACAAAGTGTGAAGAATAGCATCCCAGCCCATCCATACAGTAACAGATCTCTCTCTCTCTCTCTCTCTCTCTCTCTCTCTCTCTCACTCTGCCACTTCACCCTCCTTCTCTTCCCCCTTTTTTTTTTTTTTTTTTTTTTTTTTTTTTTTTTTTTTTT